TATTTATAGGTTAGCCCGGAAAACTGCACCATCTAGACAAGATGGGAACCCATTACAAAACTCCCAGTGTTCAGGAAATAGAACCATTTGGCCACTGGTGAGCAGAAGCGCTGAAACGCTATGCGCGAATATATTTCTTTTACCGCATCCAATAATTATCGTTTTAACACTCATTTTTTAGTTACCGAATAATTTATCTACCGTATATATTTATTAAACAAAGTGACCGTCTTCTACTTTTTCTATTTTGTCGCTTTTTATCGATTTCTCATGTGTCGAAATAATATTCACAATAAGTATAGCTGTATCTCGCTTTAATTATTATTTAAAAGATTTAAATAATATTTAAAAAATCGAATAAATAATAATGAAGGCTGGTAAGACAAAATCATAATCATCAATATATATAATAAAGGTAAGTGTACAATGTGTATGACGCTAAAACTCAAAAACGCATCCCGATACGATCAAGGGAGTTACATGTCGTGGTAGCCCTCTATCCTCCATCCATGAAGTGGGTTCCCGTTTTTACCTGAAGGGCGTGCAATTGAAGATGTAAGGGCTGAAAATGTCACTCTCTAGAAATTCCTAGAACAGTCCAGAACATTCGAGAGTATTCTAGAGCATTGCACGACATTCCAGAATGTTCCGGGATATTCTGAAACGTTCAGAAACATCCTGGCATATCCCAGATCATTGTGAAACATTGCAAAACACTCTCGAATCTTGTGGAATGTTCTGGAACATTGTAGACCATTCGAAGCCTTTTTGTATGGGTGGGACTACTCATTGGTGGGGTTATGTAAAGCAAGATTCGTCGTGGATTTGAACGTATGTTTCTTATCAGTGACAAAGGGAAAAACCGAAAAAAGCGAAAATTCCAAAATAGTGCAGTGAGTGAATAAAAACAAACAGTGAAGTGTGAGTAGTCAAAGTGATACATTGACTGAATATAAATCGAAAATAGAGGGTGAAAACTGTGTAAAGTGTACTTAGTGTATTGTTAATAAAAATTTGATTTAGTTTGGCTATACTTTATACAATGCCCAAACATAAAAGAAAAAGAGCTCTTGCCATTTCTGAATTTTTTTTTTTAATATTACCGAGAATTTTCTATTTAATATCAAAGTTGATATCGTCGACAATATTAGTTTTAGTTGCCGAAATTGCCCTTTAAAATAGCCACACCGAATATTAATAAGAAGCGCAGAGCCAAAACGGTTAAGAGTTGAAAATTAAAAATTGGTATACAGTTAGGGTGCGTCACTGGAATGTACACTAAGAAGGGATTTTTCAAAATTTCCCCCGCGGAGAGAGGCTGTTAACACTTCCTTACAAGGGAAGTGTTAACAATGGAAGTGGTTAAGTAAGAATTGAAGTGTCAGGAGAAAGCGACGTGCAAGATTTACAGTAGCAGATGCGATTTTTTGCGTTTTTCGGGAAATCGAACATATTGTTAGTCCTAAGTAAAATTCTCTAATTAGTCTGGAAACAGGGGACCAAATTCTTGTAATTTGTGGAAACGAGTAAAATTGGCTATAAAGTAAATTTAATCGTAATCTTAAATGTTTTCGAACAGTCTAAAATGTTTTAGAATAGTAGAAGACTGTTATGTGTGAGTAGTAGGGATGGCTTTTCGAGACGTGTGAGCCACATGCTTCAGTTGATTTTTCATAAGTAAAACTGTACGAATAACAGAAAACAGTGAAAAGTGAAAGTGAATAGTAAAGTGTGAAAAGTAAAAATATACAAAACAATGCAAAAGGGTAAAAAAGAATTTTTGTGGTCTCGAATCATTTCTGAAAGGCAAAAGATGGCGCGGAGAAATTAAACAACAGAAGAAAGAAAAGTACGTCTAACATTGCTACAAAAAATTATCAACGACAAAAAAATAATCAGACAGAAGATCAAGTTGAAAATTATAGGGAAACACATCGAATCAGAGAAAGTTTATGTAGAGGAAGAGAAACAGTCTTTTATATATATAAAAAACTATAGTACACATAAACGTACAAACAAATAAAAACCCAGCAAAGCCGGTACTTTAAGCTAGTATTCTTATAAAAGTAGTAGCCCGGGTCGCCCCTATTGGGCTTTCTAGTCATTCCGTGGTATAAAATAATAAATTCATATCAATGGAAAATGTTTTCTCCTTCCCGTAGGAAAAATTCACTTTTCCACAAAGAAGTAAATTTATTCCCCTGTGGGATAGAGGAATTTTTCCTCTTTGTGTGGACAGGAGTTAAGGATAACCCTATCGCACAAGAAGTTCTAACAGCAGCTGTGTCTATATAAATCTATACATACTATGTATATAAATTAAAATATAAATGTTTGTTTGTTTAAAATTTTAAAACTCTGAAAGTTTTTCACCGATTGCTTTGAAATTTTGACACAACGTTGCATTCGAATACACGCGTGTTTTCTATCGAAATTTGTCCAAGTGGGAGAGGCAAAAAATTATACTTAACCTGAAGTAAGACTTGTACTCTACTATTTTAGATGCGAGTTTTGTTTCTAGTGATAATACAATACAGCGTCGATTATCCGAAAATCGATTATCCGAAACGTCAATTATCCGAAAGAATTCTAGTCGGCAAATTTAAATTTTCGCCAGTGCTGTGGCGCTACAATCTTTGGCTATGTCTTGGGCTACTCAAATATTTTACGTTTTTCATACTAAATTAACTTCTGAAGTATAATTTTTTATTGTTTTTATATTTTTCAATATATTTATTTTGTTTGTACAAAATAAAATAATAATTTTTAACGATATAATAGTTTTCGTTAGGCTTAACATCGACGAAAATTCAACGCGAAGCGACACGCAACGGAGAAAAATTTCAACATTGGATAGGTTAATATATTGTAAAAGTTCCAAAAAATTAATCAGATTTAAACATTCCTTTGAAGCGGTGAAATGTTTATCAGCAATAATGGGTCTGTGTTATATAACATTGTTATTAATTAAATAATTACTATATTTGTTGAAATACTGAATATAAATGGTGTTATAACGCTCCACACCATGCCAATTATATGCGACAGAGCTTGTCTCTTTAGCGCAATATCCTTTCTATTATATGACACTGAAGTGATGGCCAAAGAAGTCAGTGCAGAAAGAGTGGCTTAGGTTATGGGTCACTGAGATGATTTTCGAAGGAGAATAATTTCTATCAAATTGCAAAATTTGCGCGGGTGAAACAGCAAGTAACAGCTAGTAAATGATAAATTCATATCAATAATAATTTCCTATTACAAATAACAACGCTTATTCTTAATTTAAAATCATCTCTAGGATTCCAGTAGCGGGCGTTTCAGGCATAATGTTACAGATATACTGACACGCAATCAATGGCTTATATTATTAGATTAGTAAATTAATCGTCGGTTAATGGATATGTGACACTTATATTAATAGTGTAACATCGTTTATAAGATGTAAAGTACAGCCTCAAATAGTTCACTTTTTAAGGTTTCAAAATGTTTTTCTTTTTTTCTTTAAATACTCGATGTTTCATTAAATTTGTGTTATTTCATTTTTATGCCAAAGTCTACTTCTACTCAAACATTTTAATTCAGTTAATAACTACACTGAAATGTTCGAAATGTTTGAAAGTCAGTCGCTGAGAGAGACAATGTTATAGATTTCTCGGTTATTCCTTTCATTCTATAAGATACGAAAAGGTCCACAAGAACAAAACCTTCGGCACCTAAATGTAAATGTGTGGAATCTGCATCGATTGATTTACACATAGAGTAGCAGAGTGGTTCAAACATAGAGAACTATATAAAAACTTAGACAACCAATTCGAGTAAAGTGTGCCTTCAGGATCTGCCAAATAAAATTTATGTGACATCCGCGATTTTTACGCCGATATCGAGAAAGATCTTTGTAAATAACTCCGATGAAAAAAATACTATTGGTGAGAACCGATATCGGAATTTACCGAATGTTTTTATTTTTAGGTAGGAAAGTTGAAACTTAGTTGATCGGAATGCACTGTAGTGTCAACAAAAGTGAATCACGTGACTCATTTCCTACGAAAAACGTATAAAAGCTCGAGTCCCCGGAAGTTCCGGGCGACCAAATGAAGTTATACTTATAACTGTGTGCATCTTGTCTTCATACCCTGGACATAGCGACCGAAAGGACATAAGACAGACCATACCTTAGAACTTTCATCGCCATTATGCAGTTTCTGCGCCGACTACGAATCATACGAACGCACATTAGACATATCCTCATAGATGTGTTTGTATTTTCAGAGCTTTGTGAACTTTCTTTCTATATAGCCGTTAACTAACCAAGGAGGTAAATCATAGTTACAATTCTGACAGAAGGCTGATTGGTTGATATCGAGTAAGTCATGATAGAAACGGCCAATTAGAGCATAGAAGACGTAAAAACAGGATTTTCAAAATCAATTAACGGCAAAAATGTTTCACAGTGTAAAAGAAGTTAAATGTCGATGTTATCTGCCAATAATCTGCATTTTCACCTCTAGTTCCTGTAGAATTTTAGAGGGTCTATGTTTGAAAATACTGAAATATTTTTGGCCCAGAGTTTGCTACAAAAAATTTAATGGTTGTGGCAGTTGAAAATCACATACAGCAAAGCGATTCAGAGCTTAGATAGCAACAGACTTGTTTACAGTTTGTAAAACACAGTTCTGAAATTCACGATTATTTCCTGAAAAATTCCTAAAAACGTAAGTCTTTTTTGCTTCCGTTATAAATAAATAAAAACGTTATATTTTGAGTAGTATTGTTAACTAATACATCAAAAACACATTCCCACAATCATCTCACATGAAAAATTCGCGAAAAAGTCTATGATTTTTACAAAATTGATTTTCGAAACTGGTTCTTGCTGGCGCCCCGCGCGACCGACTTCGCGAGAGATAGTTGTGGCACTTAACCGTGGGTAAAATTTCCATTTTTTAAAACTAAGCGAGATATTTTTTAAAATTTATTAATTGTAAAAACGATATTTTCAGATACGAAATTGTTCATCCTATCCCGAAATACTTCATTAAGAAAGAGGAAAATGGTTCATACTCTGGAATTATTGGACAAGTTATTAACAAAGTAATGTCTTCGTCATTTATTTTATTGTAGAAAATATTGTAGTTCAAATTTTAGGAGAAAGTCGAAAATTTACATTATTTTGTGGTAATTATTGAATTTTTTCATAACATTTCAAACAATTATACTGGATGAATTTTAATGTAAATTACGTAGTTTTAAATTATATGTACAGTACATATATATCATTTACAACGCGAAAACTATGGATTACCTACTTTGTGTTTTTTAAATTTCTTTAACAAAAAGTATGTTATTTTGTGAAAGTTACTTGAAGACACAGACTGTCCAAAAAATAAAAAAAATATATAAAAAACTATTTTAGTAGACACCATTTATTCACTTCACGTGTTCCAGAACAAAAACTTTTTGACGACCTGACCTTTTTTTTAGGCTACTTGGCCTAAGAAGTTTTTTATATTTCTTCATTTTTTGGACAGTCTATGTCTTCAATTAACTTTTACAAAATTAATATCATCCGACGAAATTTCAAGAAAAAAAAAGTAACTTATTTAATATTATATCATAAAACACTATATCCACTACTTTTATTCTGCTCTGCAGTTAATTGATTACATTATATTTTTACCTTTAATTAACTTTGTCGTTAATTTAACTAGGAAAGTATAATGTTTTTTTTTAAGCCATAGTTTTGTATCTTCTGTCGCTAACTGCAATTCTTTGCTTTGTGGGTGTGAGATTTTATATTAGTTCGGTACGTTTTAAAATAATTATCGTTAACGTAACTACTATAAACGATAGCGTCGTTTAATAAATATATTCAACTAATAAGGTTCGATTCAATCTAACGCGGTAGTGATTTTACGCGTTTTTTCACGTATGTAACTGTATACGTAGACACTTGCAAATTCACGTCAATTATAATTCCTCCTCCCGCCAACAATTTCTAAGTTTTTATTGTACAAGGCTGCAACTTACCTATTTTTCTAACGGCTCGAGATGTCATCACGAGCTAATTACATTTAACCGCCATAGAGTGGATCTTGAGAAATAGACAATAATAATCAGAAGGGCTAATGAATACAATGATGAAATTAACACGATGTATTGAAGTACTTTATACGAGTTTCTGGGTATAGTAATAAGTTAAAATTCCTTTGAACCCAGAGTAATTTTCATTTTTAAATTTTTATATACAGTGAATATGGTAATTAATTTAATAAAATTTGTTATTGTGAAGATAAAAATTACACATTTTATCGACTCAGAAAATTAAATTTTAACTAAAATCGTAAGAGAATTGATTTTTGTTTGCTTCTTTTGAAACAGCAAGCTGATATAGCTGCATTTCCGTTATTTGTTACTAGTACACGGTACGAACAGGCAGACTACTCTTCGCTAATTGTCATGACTCCCGTCAATTTTATCGTGACTGAAAAACAAATTGTAATAAACTGGATGACAATCGTAAAACCATTTTCATTTCAGGTATGAACTTTGAAATATCTTTCACATTTTTTCAAGACTTTTTACGTATTGCAGTTATACTTTTAATTTTAATAAATTAAACATAATTTCTTATATTAACTCACGTATGAACATTCATTACTACAAAAACCGAAAAAATGTACACAGTTTACAATGAAAAAAAATCAAATGTTTTTTTACCAGTTCATGTTGTTTGTCTTTTTATAAACAACGAACCCTTGTAAATTTTTAATAAATGTTGAAAAATGTCGCGATGATCTGATTCAATGTACCATAAAATTAAAACTTTTCACGCATAATTTGCAAACACATTCACCAATTAACAGAAACTTTCCTTCTGCACTGAAAATTTACACAAAAAAAGCAAAATAATACTTTTAATATGTGAAAAATTCATCGCAAATATACGAAAAAACATTAACAAAAACTGCATAAAAACAATAATGACGCTAACTAAATAAAATTTTGTATAAAAATTCAATATCTTTTTTTACGATAGAGTCAGATATTAGGACGAGCTTTAAATCATTAAAAGTAAGTTCAAAATTTATACTGCGCAGCGGCAATGATCTTAGCAAAAAAAAAAACACAGATAAAAAATATTTTTTTTAAAGAAATGTCACGTTGTTAAAATTCACGTAAATTGTCTTAGTGTTCTCATTGTATTTATCAGAATAAAAAGACAATTTACATGCATAAGTAAATGAATAATTACAAAAGCAAAGAAAATTCGATTAAGTGAAAGCGTTATGTAATAAACAATAATGACATCCTATATATATACTATTGGCGAAAACTTACGTTTCGTATTGTTATTACAAGAATGGAATAGCAGCTCATAAATTAGATAACTTTTTTAAGTTTATGATAATAAACTGTAAATTAATTGTCAGAATAAAAACAAAATCAAGTTAAAAAGTGATTATGAATAAAATTGCAAATATAAACTGCAATAATAGTTTTAACACTTTTTTTCAACATAAAACTGATTGTTTAATTAACAAAGTCCGATACTGTAGGTAAAATTCATATTTGTATACAAACATTGAAAAAATTGCCAAAAAGTAACCCATCTTTTCGTACTACTTGTAAAATGAAAATTGCGACCGTCATTCGATAAATTAAGTTTTATAAGTAAAAATTATCTATCAAATACAAACTAGTTATACTGAATCTGGCAGTAATATATATTAATTAAAAAAAGTTTCATTGCTAACCGTTGCCTTTATTTTAGAATTGATTACAACTTTTCTTTTCTTTCACTAATTTTTTAGCAAATTTCTGAAGCTGCTTAAATAAATGGAAACTTGTCAGTAGTGTGAGATCCGAAGGGCCCTAGGCCTCATTTAATAATTTTTATTAATATGTTTAAATTTATCGACAAAATATTACTTCATTTTGTGTGAAAAAAATAGTGTTTTAGACGTGGGAAAAATAGATGACAGATGACACTTCCTTTCCACAAGAAGAGAACATCCGCTGTTTTTCCCTTATCCGTTAAAAATCTCGCTCAGATGGGAAATGGTTACCCCTCATTCATCCCCCTTTCATCCGTTCTCACGAAAGAGTTACTGAACGATGATTGGACGAAATTTTGAAATAAAAGGAGAAATTAGTCAGAATTCGGGGAGTTCAGCGACGAGTTCTTCGACAGATCCGAAGCATACAAACTCCACATACGTTTCCCTCCTGATGGCCAACGCCCAAAATGGAGTCTGATAGACTAAGTCCCGAGTCTACACTTAGAAGAAGTGATATCTTTATATTTTGTGCACGAATTGATCTCCCGTACGAAAGTAATATGAACCCTATCTACAAGGTGTCCTCTACCTATACAGAAACGAAGAAGACGACAACTACAGGTCGTATGTTCATAATAATTTTGTGAGCTCTCTCTCGAACGCGCATTAGCTTAAATTAAGCCGTAGCCTAACGCTTGTCGTATTATCGTTGTATTTGGTTATCTGTATTCGTTTGTTTGAGATTTATTAAATTATACTTATGTTTTATTTTATCAGAATGTCTCCTCAATTTATTCCGAATCAGATCGCATACGCGTGTTAATCCGCGCATTGAGAAATTGATTAACTGGTGTCAAGGAATCCTGACGTTAGATATAGTCTTCGCCGCCTATATCCTATCAACATTTTAATAGCTCTCCTATGAAATATTTGAGATCAGATCTAGTGATCTGCATCCTAGAGAACTAGTCTTACCGACTAGCGCCGATTAAGTGTTACACGAGTGCTACCTACTCCGTAACCCCGGCTGATCTCACAGTAGTAATTGAAAATATCTGATAATATTTGGCCATTTTCTAGAGATTATCCGAAAATATCCGGCATCTTCTGCAGATATTCTTTAAATCTTTAAATTGATATTTAAGCTTTGTACATTCAATTTCAATCGTCGCATCGTAAAGCAATTATTTCTAAACTTTGCATCTCTCTTTCTTCTGTGATAAACTTTTTCTTTTAAATTATTTTGTTAATTTTAGTCAATAAGAGTAAAACATATTATAAGAATTTGTTAAATATCAAAAGAGTTTTGTATTCTTTTGATTTTAGATATTGCGATAAACATTTTAATTGGGTTAAAAGGTGAAATATAAAAAAATGACTTTTTAAATAGAAGTTTTATCTTATAGTATAGAATTGTAATTAAATAATATAATTTATCGATACTTCAAGTATAAACATAATATTTGTTTTTGAGGTTTGGATCGCAATCGGATTGTCCATTTTAATATTCGGATTTATCTTCTCGTTAATATTCGAGTACGAACGGCAATTAACTCAATCTAACAGAATATTGGTTTTAAGCCAAGTTATTTGGTATATGTTTGGAACAATTATTTTTCAAGGTATGTTGAAACAAATAAGTGATGACTAGTTGTTGACAAGTAGTAATTCATATTTATTTTTAAATCCAGGTGTTGACATGAATTTTCCGAGAACATTGCCGTCGAGACTCTCTGTTGGATTCTGGCTGTTGTCTGCATTAGTTCTTGCTAGCAGTTACAGTGGAACTTTAATATCTTTCCTAACTGCACCTATTTACGAAAAGGCACCGACAACGTTCGGGGAATTGACTTCCGCTATAGAAAGTGGAAAATATTCTTGTGGGGCACACCAGGAAGCAAAACGTGTAACGTTCGATGTAAGAATAAGGTTTTTCTTCACTACAGGAAAATTTAAGATATAAAAAAGTTGAATATATTTTTTCGTATGTTAATTTTTAAATATTATAAAAGTCGATTTAATAAGTAGCAGTTATTAGAATTGTATTGATGCATAAATGCAATTCTAATAACAAATAAAGTTGAATATATATTTTTGTATGTTAATTTTTAAATATTAGAAAAGTCTATTTAATAAGTAGCAGTTATTAGAATTGTATTGATGCTAAATGCATAAATATAATTTATCAACTACAGTCGACTGTATTTGTTATTAAATTTTATAAGAAATATTTAACTTTTGAATATTTCCTGTAAAATATCCTAAAATATAAACTAAAATTTGTTCTACAATTGAAAATTGTTTTACATTACATTCCATAAAGCAGTTTATAAATAACAAAACGTAATAAAGATTTCAAATATTTTAATTACAATTTCATAATAAAAAATTTGAACTGTTTCAATAANAATATGAAATTGTTTTTCGTAGTGTGGATATCTGAAATGATACAAAACTGTGTGTTTTACAATATATTTCAAACATATAAAGCAATTTATAAATAACAAAACGTAATAATGATTTCAAATATTTTAATTACGAATTTATAATAAAAAATTTCAAATAGTTCATGAATTTTTGCATATCTTAACTCAATAAAATTCTACTTTTAAAATAATATAGATAAAAATAGTATATTGATTTGAATAGATGAATTAAAAACATAAAGATAACAGAAATATAGTAAATGTGTGAGTACTTAGAATAATATTAAATACAGAAAAAATTCTATAAAAATTATTTGCATACATAATGTAAAAAAAATTAAAGAAAAAGTTCGGTAATAAACTTTTGATTATGTTTATAATCGTATTGTTTTCAAGTAAATTTTAAGTAGACGAGAAAACAATTTTTTAAAAGAATTTAATAACATGAAAATTAATCGCAAATATAACTGTTAAATTAAATATTAAGTAAATAATATTTAACGTTAGACATAAGGTTTTCATTCAATTTGGGTAATTCTTACTGATATTACAATAAGTTATTTTATGAAAAGACATCTTTGAATTAAGAAATCTTTGTTTACTTTATAACAAATAAACTACTCAGAATTTTTTATTCTTATATCCGTTTATCCTGTATTTTACAGATTCTGTACAAAGTATAATTAACTGTCAGAATATATCTGTATTTATTAATTTCAAGCCTGCTTATTAGTTTTTAAAATTTTTTCTTGTTATGACATCTCACGGATTGTCAATAATCAATATGTATTAGTAACAGGACTAAAAATACTTTAATTCTCAAAACCTGTAATATCTTGAATAACTGCGCCGATGCTGTCTTAATTTTAACTATGCCCAGTTGCTGCAATAATTGCATTATTCCAGGTTGTGCAAATTGGGCAAGGATAGAAACGAGTACAAGGTTTGCAAGTATGAAGTTTTTCTTCATGAACCGGATTATTAACGCCCAACGAACTGCCGAATTATCAGGTTATGAGTTTGATGTCTCTTTTAAAGCAGCCGAGGTAGGCAAATCAAGAATACTTGAGAGCAAAAAACATACTGCAACGCGTCTCGAAAACGAACTGGAAATCTTTGACACTTGAAAAACACGTAACGTTTGTCTTTTTTTAGATGCATTAAAGACGATTTCACCCACATTTATTGAATTGAAAAAGACATTCTGACCATAAAAATTTACAATAATATTTTGTGTTACGTAATTAAGTATTCAAAATTTTCTTATAACTTAGAAGTTTGATCAAAGTTCATTTTATTATTTAAACTTTTTAACTCAATTCAAAGGCGTTTCATTTTGTTGTTGTTGTATGTAGTTTCCAGCAAACTTTAATAAATTTCTTCTATTTGTGAATATTTGCACGTAATTCAAAGGTGATTTTTAATATAGGGGAGATCGGGGCAACTTCGGCATGCGGGGCAAGTTTGTCAAGCGCTTTTTTTAAAAAACAAATTAAAAGGAGACTTTGGTTATAGGTTAGGCAGTTGAGTTTTATTCGTGGCTTGTTGAGTGTAGTGTTTTTATTGTTCTCCAACAAGCGTAGTTGAATTATCAAGCAAATTTTCATTTTCGTTCAATTCCATATAATATTTTT